AAACTCATCCTTATACCTCTCTGCATGGATAAGCATCCATCCCCTGGCAGCACCACTCTGCTTCCTGCTGCCTCCTCGCATTCCCTTCTACCAGAATCCTATGGAACAGCACCTGAGGTGGGATTAAGAGCTGAGATTATTGCTAATGATGAACTTTGCCTTGTCAGAAATATGATTTTTACCTACAATATATTCCAGAGGCATATACTTGTAATGCCTCCAACACACCACTAGAAACTCCACATGGAAGAAAAGGAGTTGTTGACACACAGATTTTCCAGTACTTTTGAATTACACAGAGCAAATAAGACTTCACATCTGTTAAATGTAGCCAATTATTTAGGTAACAATAAAACTGCATGGACCAGGCAGGCATTAGGTGCACCAATAGCAACAAGCGCCAATATTTAGAGATTTAAGGAAATTAGAGCTTGCCAAGAAACACAGAAGCCTTTTAATTTTTTTGAAAGTTTACCCTCTCCTATTTTCAGCTTTTCTTGAAATTCACTAAGAGTAACCATAAAAAGTAGTTCTCCTCAATCTTTTAAAAATTGTATCATCACTTCATTCACTAAAAGCAGCAGCATCTTACTGAAAGTTAGGAGAAGCAGCAATGAATTGGCAGTGAGTTCAAGGCCTACCATTAGCACTAGAGAAAAACAATGCTATGGCATGCTGACTTTCTCCCAACCACCAGCAAGAACCCAGGAGCCCCACGGGGGACCCTGCAGGAAATCAACTCTGCCCCAGGAATCCGCTCCTTTGGCCCAGCAGGAGGGGCTCTGCAGGGGCCTTTGGGGTTGTACCCAGGTCCTACACAGACACCAATATCTGGGCACACGTGATGTGAGTGGGAAGCTTTAACCAAGTGATGGGGAGAGCAAGAAAACTCTTATTGTGGAGCGAAGGAGAAGCTGATCGGATTAAAATCACCTGGAAATGATACAAACACACATTCTGAAGCAATTCTCATAGAGCTCTCACAATCCTCCACTTGGCAATGCCGGCCCACCAGAGCAGGACCTGGTGGCCACTAAAACGCCCCATGCGGGTCCCTGAGGCCAGCTGTGATCCAGCTGCAGCCCAGCCACACAGGCAGCCCCAGTGCACCAGCAGGATCCACCCTTGGGTTCCACTGGGAAAGGCACACCCCCTTCTAGGGAAAGAAGTGCCCAGCTCAGAGCCGCACTTGTAAGCTGTATTCCTTTCCAAATAATCTCATTTCTCCCGGTCTCATTGTGTCTACAGCAGAAAGCAGGCACTGCAACTTCCATCCTTCTCACTTAGTACCGAGGTACCCGCAGAAGGAAATACAGTAAAAGCACCCAGGGGATTCTAAGGAGTTTCAATTTACGCTTCCAATCTAGTCGTACACCTTCATCCCACCCTGTTTTCTAAACTGTTTCCTGAAGGGGCACAGTAATGCATCTTATGGGCCACAGGAACCATCGCTGATGTAAAGCAAAAGGCATTCAGATGAAGCACAGCTGCTGATTGACTATTTAAAACTACATCCACCAAGGACAGAAACCTGGAGAACTAATTAGTTCATTATTAAAGCCTGTAATGAGAAGTCTGCAGTTCTAAGGGTGTCCAAAAATGAGTTTTCCAGTATATAAAAAAAAGAAACCAGCATGCTGATTCTCTCCACACTGCATGGTTTAACTCATAGAAGATATGATACATCTGGCATTGTTTCAGCATAGTTACTGAATTTCATGGAGTTGAATTCACAGGGAAACCTATGACACTGTAAAGTAACAATTTATTCTTTTACAATGTGAAACCAGCAGCCTAAAAAACACATCGCCTTGAAATCTCCGATGCGTTTAGAAAGAGCTTCCCAAATTGTTTGTCTTATTTTTAGAGCAGATATTTAATTTACAATCTGCACACTGCTTATCTCATGCTCTCACAGAATTGTAATGTGAAGAAGTCATCCTACTTGACACACTTCAGTATTTATGCCTTTCCATCTCCATGCTCCGCCGCACGCATCGCTCCTCCTGTTGCATCCATGCTGCACCCTGGCAGAGATGACGCAGCCCTCTTCTCCAAATTTGCAGCTTAACAAACATTCCCAAACGACATTCTGCAGCGTCCTAGAAAAATCTATGACAAAGCATCACCTTCCACACAGCAAAGGAAACGCAACTTCTTGCACAGAAGCCCACAGCCTTCAGCAAGGCAGCATGACGACCGTGATGGTTCCAGCCCATGGCTGCAGCACCCAGCAACGCTGCCCAGGGCTGGGAACGTGGCTGTCTCCCCTCCCCACTCTGCTTCTGAGAGGAGGAAATGGAATAACAACGAGGTGCTAAAAGCAAGCATTCAGCCGGAGACACCCCCCATCTCCATCCCTTTCACAGCCAGTCACTGTCAGGCCCAGGCTGCTGCCTTCAGAGCAGGGGATGCTACCAGCAGGGTCAGCGCCAGACCAGCTACTGGTGGGATGCTCCCAAACATCCAAACCAAAGCGTCTTGCTTGAGGTCCACACAAAACCGACGGCAAAACCAGACCCTGAATTCAGGCTGAAAGACTTCTTCCTTCCTCTAAATCCTGAGCACGGTTGCATCTCTCATCAGCTGTAATTGTGGAAGAGAAATCCTCGTGCACTTGGCCTTTGGAGGCACACTGCCCTCCCTGGCAGCTCCCGCACCTGTCACAGAAAGACCTGCACATCCCTTGTGCCCCACAGAGCAGCGACCTGCTCCATCACACAGCCACAGCCGGGGAGCAGCATCCCTCATGGGGCTCAGCCCTTCCCCAGGCTCCAGGCAGAGCCCTGCCCCAACCCATCCCAGCTGCCCTCACTGAGGGTGCCACTCAGCTCCAAGAGATGCAAGGAGGACTTGTCCTTTGATCACACAGAAAATAAACCACATATCTAATGCAGATCCTTTGCATCTTTTTTTTTTTTTTTAACCAAACAAAAGCTTCCACAAAGCTTCAAACAGAATGGCACAGATGAATTCAAGTCAGAGGACCTCACTATAGCTTTCCCTGCTGCTGCACCTGTTGGCATTGGCTGGAGATGCTCCCAGAGCTCTGTGCTGTATCAGGAACAGATGAGTGAGCTGCACGCACGGCTGCTGCAATTCCATATGCAGAGAGCAAGAGGAATGGCCCAAGTCCTACCCTTCCTGCAGAGAAAGCCCATAAGCATCAGTAGCTGCCTGAGGAAACCCCGCTGTGCTCTGCGTGGGTTATATCCATTTCTTTCCCCATGCATTGAGGTACAGCGTGAGTACTTCGGTTCTCTTCCAAAACACTGTCAGAGAAATGCAACCACCAGTAATGTCTCTTTGCAGAGGCCTCCACAAATGGAAGGAGACATCAGGGAAAAGGCAGCCTATGCACAAAACCAAATGTCTGGGAGCCCCCACCCCCTCACCACAGGGTCAGCAAATGCTGCAGGGAGCTACGAGAGCCACACGGCAGCAGAAGCGAATGCATTTCAGCAAATGTGCAGGTTAACAAGTTTGTTGCTGTGTATCTTTCCAGTACCTCACTGCTTCTCACTTCCCACACAACTGCACTCTGTCGCTTAACAGGTCCTCTCCTGCTCCTACCTCAAAATATTTCTTATTTCTCCCTGGCTGGGACGTGCTCTGAACTGTGCTTTGAAGGATGAGAAAGATGAGAGTTCTAGCAGTTCTAGCATGCAGAAAATGTGCTTAAAGCAGGCAGAACCAATCTGCAGATACATACTCAGAGAGAGATCTCAGTGTGCACCAGTTCCTGCATTCTGGATGATTTGGATAAAGAGCAATTTGGAACAGATGCTTAGTCACAATATGTTAAAATGTTTAGAGATATATAAATATCACTACGTGCAGGAACTGCTCAAATGCCTCATTTTCTGCAAACTCCCTTATGTAACATCAACACCACCGAGGATCTCGCAGGTACCGTGCTGTTACGGGAGGGCTCGGAGCGCCCGGGCTTCCCTTCCCAACGGGATTTCAGCGCCCAGGATTCGCCCGTGGCTGCGGCTCGGTTCGGACAGCTGCCGGCCCACTCAGCCATCCTCCGGCACAACTTCGGCCCCGGTTCGGGGGGAGCCGGGACCGCAGCCCACAAAGGGCTGTCGGCAATGGGAGAAGCGCGGAGCGAAAGGAGAGCCGCGCAAACAGCAGCCTCAGGAGACAGCATCCCAGCGCCGGTACGGCCGCGCAAATTGCCGGGGATTCAGCGCACCGCAGTCTGCCGGGCGGGGGAGGAGAGCGAGGCAAACAGAACCGCGTCCTTCGTGCTCTCTGGGAAGAACGGACAGCACCGAGACCAGAGCGACCGGGCAGGTTCCGCACCGCGCCGGGCGGCTGCCCCGGCCCCGGGGATGGGGACGCGGAGCGGCGGTGGCTGCTGACACCAGATGGGCTCTGCCGGGAAAACCTCCACAAGTTTCCAGCCGGGAAAAGCGGGGGATATCTCCGCCCGCTGCAAAAAGAAAAAAAAAAAAAAAAAAACACAACCAGCCAAAATAATAAAAATAACCCCACCAGCACCTTCCGCGTGCGAAGGCGGAGGATAGGAAGCGAGAAACTCCGCCGCTCGCGATGCATCTGGTGGCGGTGCTGCCGCTGTCCCCGCGCTGCGCAGCGCCCAGAGGCGGCGGATCCCCTGGGGGTGGGGGACGAAGCCCCCCCCGGTCCCCGGCCCGGCCGTACCCCGCCGCCGAGCCATATTTCTCTCTAACGCAAACCCGTCTCAATCACCGCCTTTATTTTTTCCTCTCCTCCTTTCCTTTCACGGATTGCTTCTTGCAAATGGGGCGATAAATCCAGAAAGTGCCATGCACCGTAGAGAAGGGAGACGGGGGAGGATGCTGGCATAGAGGGGGCGGCTGGGAGGGAAACGAGAGGCTCCGGAGGGGAAGCGAATGAAGCACCTGAGGGGGCGCGGGCAGAGTTCGCCTCCGCCGCGCGGCTCGGCACGGCTCGCTTCGGCGCGGCTCGTTCGGTTCGGCTCTCCGCTACCCGGCGCCGCGCAGCCCTACCTGGAAGAGCCGGAGGATGTTGGCCACCATAATAGACACGGAACTTCCCGACGCCCCGATCACTCCAACTACTTTCTCCGGCTTGACGAAGACGGGCGGCTCTCCGTTGGTGCACCTCACGTCGGAGGTGTCCTTCTGGATGAGCGCCTGCACGAAGGTGAGCGACTGCTCCAGCGCGTAGGTGTCTCGGGAGCAGGTGTCCAGGATGCGAGCGCCCAGCGTGACATTGGGCAGCAGCTCCGGGTCGCTGTTGATCTGGTCCAGGGCGTAGAGCATCGCTTCCAGCCTGTGGATGCCGTTCTCCTTCTTAATGTCCCCGCAGGGCACGCCCGGGGGACCTTTGGCGTGGACAGGGAAGAGCCCCCCCAGCGTGATGTCCCCCTCCAGCCGGATGGAGTGCGGCGCGTACATCTCCTGCCCCAGGGCCGCCTCGGAGAGCAGGAACTCCAGCAGGCAGCAGGGCAACTTCACCAGAGTCAGGAGCCGCAGCAGCCTGCCCAGGCGGAGCATGGTGCTGCCGGTCGCCCCCGGGCGCTGCCCCGCGCCCCCCTGCGCCTTCATCCGCCCTCCGGGCGCGACGCGGGGCTCGGGGCGGGATGCGGGGCTCCGGCCGCTCCCGCCCGCCGCTGCCTCCGCCGCGCTCCGCGGCAGCTCGGCACAAGGGAGCCGCGCCGCGCCGCTGCCGCTTTAAATGGTGGCCGGGGCCTCTCCGCCCCCCGCCCCCTCCGCCGCCCCGCCCCGGGGCCGCCGCTGCGCAGGATGCGGCCGAGCCGGGGCCGGGCGTGGAGGCGATGCGGCCGCGGTAGCTCCGGCAGTTCGGACCCGCGGGGCTACAGGTGGAGGAGTGCGGTCCGGCGGAGCCGGCGATGGATGGGCAGCACCAGGGACGTGCGGAGCTGGGGATGGATGGGCAGAAACGGGGGCGAATGGGCAGAGCCGAGGGCGTGCAGAACCGGAGCAGCCTCGCTCCCCGGCTCCTGGAGCCGGGGCAGGGCGGGCGGAGGGCGAGCGGAGCCCCCGGTCACCGAGGAGCCGCGGCCAGCCCGGCCCCGGCAGCCGGAGCGATGTTCCGGCCAGCCCTCGGCGTCAAAGCGGAGAGCCCGGCTCTGCCATGGGAGCGCATCCTCCTTGCCGCTAATACCGGTGGAGCCAGTGAGGAGAAGGAGTAGTTTGGATGTAACCCCATATTCCCGAAACCGAAGTAATGCAGCTGAACTCATGCTTTTTTTTTTTTAAGAGCTCCAGACCCATTTTGTCCCGTGCTTCAAGATCTCAAGGATGCTAGAACATCTGGTTTTGTCCCGTTCAGCCCCGAACTGTAATAGCCAAGGAGATGACACCTGTTGCTGTTCTCAAGCAGCAAATCCATATCCTGATCCCTTCCCAACTCGAGAGTAATGCAAAATACAGCTCTGGTGTCTGGTTCCTGCCAGGCCAAGCACGTATTTTTGGAAACTGTCTTTCATTCCTTCTGCGCGAACACTGGGTCAAACAGAGCTGCTGTTCATCATCCTGCCTGCTCCAGCTGCAGCCCTGATGTGTTCCCCTCACAGCTGTGGGCCTGCCTGCATTCCAGTTTTCAGCCTTTTTCCTTTTCCCTGTGTCCATTTGGCAGAAGTTACTGAAACCAGGTTTTCCAGAGTGTTGCTCCTCAGTTCCACCTCACACATATATTCCTCACTGAGGGAGGGTGCATGGGGAGCAGCAGCAGAACTGGCAGATGTAGCAGGTCCAGGGGTTTTGCAGCAGGGCCAGGATGTAACAAGGATAACCACCAATAAAAGCAGCTGGAGTTCTCTTCCAGAAACTGTTCTGGGGGCTGAGCACCAAAATGTACTTTTTCCATGGACTGAAAAATCTCGTTAGAGACTAGTTCTTAGTAATTTCACTACTGTGATCCGTGCGTGCCATCACTCAGCCTTTATTTATCGGCTTTATTCCTCACACAGAGAAAGCACAGCCACGCTGCCTCAACAGATCAGTACTTGCCCACTGCTGCCCTGGGACCCTCAGGGTCAGACACCCCTCATTCTCCAGCCCCACCAGCCAGAGCTGCCCAGCCAATGCCAGCAATGCCCACACACATCTCAGCTCTGTGCATGGGCTCAGCTGCTGCTCAGTGTCAGCAGTTCCTCCTGAACCATTCCTCGATAACATCAGCCTCAGCCCCTTTCACATCTCAATGTGTGTGATTGAATGTAAGCTCTTCAGTGCCTATTTACCTCTTGCCCACTCGAAGCTCCTCATCGAGAATCTTTGCTGTATTTATTATCATTAAAAAATCCCACTCTAGTGGCTGTTCAGGAGAGGTTGCAAGCACGACTCAGGCTTGCCTTAAGTGCTCAAGCTTCAGAAAGAATTTAAATATAAACCACCTTTTCTAATAGATCACATTGTTTTGTGGGATGCTACTATCCGAATTTAGAAGTTTTTTTAAGGTTTTTTTTTTTTTTTTTCCTATTTTCTTTTTGGCAAATCCATGCTTCATTTTGCAGGAAGCTGCCTCATCATTTTGAGAGCTTTCTTGCTTTTTAACCTTTTATTTTTTTTTCCTTGGGCAAATCCACAATTACATTCAACATGTTTATCCTCTCAGAATTGCAGAAAACCCATCTGCCGTCTACTTCATGGTTCTTTTCATCACACCCTGGTTACCTAAAAAATTAGACTATGTATTCCACAGCAGATTCCCTGTGGGAACATAGAAAATTACACACTTGATCAAGGTAGACCTGGGATCTGTCCTAGCCTGGTATCTTGCCTTGGAACAGCAGCAGATGCTGCAGAAGAAAAGACAGGAGCTCTGCAGCATGCAGATGCCTTTAATCTGCTCCTACCATAAATCTCATCCTGGTCTCTCATATATAGGAATTGGTTTAAACCATGAAGCATGAAAAATTATTTTAATTACATTCCAAATTTTATCTAGTCAATCATTACTCTGGATATTCTAGATATCCATAAACACTCCCAGTCCCTTTTCCATTTGGTTTCAATGGCATCTGGTGGTAACAAATACCACAATTTGATTGGACACTGCCTGAAAAGAAATCCTGCTTTTGCCAGTTTTCTATTTCCTGCTTTATAAATGTAAGTCTTAAAGCAGTCAGTAATCTCCCCTTTATTGTGCATGTTCTCCTTCCACTGCATGCAGTTTTCTACCTACATACGTTCGGTGCTTGCAGAGAAGAAACTAAAGCCAATAACCCAATCACCTGCATATCTGTGACTGCCATCATTTACTTTGAAGGAACTTGTCATTTGGTTTGGATTATTGAATGCCTGGAGGTGAAACGACACCAGCTAAATACCATCTTCAACACGGCACTCACACGTCATGACATATCACAACATATCTGTGCTTCAGAACCCACACTGCATGGCAGCCCCTGTCCTGTTGGATCTAAAAAGCATTTCTCCTCAACTACCACCCACCAGAACGGTTCTCCTCCACAAGGATTCAGCCCCTGGTTCCTCAGCATCCATTAGATTCTGTCCACTCCAGGCTGAACTTCCCCACTCTTAAAGCTGTCAGTGAGGATTTAGAGTTACAACATACTAAATCACATTAAACTTGTATCCCTAATCTGAAATGACTCTCAGAAAGCAATGTTATTACAGTAAAGCCGCAGAGTGACAACGCTGTATATATTTAATGGGAATATTGATAGAAGCATATTTTTATTTTTCCACTGGTGGGAAAGTCGTTTCAATGTTATGCTTAGTATTTCACCTCATAATTAGTCATTCTTGCACTAAATCAAATTCCCAGCAAAAGTCACTCTCTGAGTTCCCAGAGAGCGGCGAATGCTTTCTTTAGATGCCCTAATTCAGTGCTGGAGCTGTGCTCACACTGGAGCAGGCTGTGGGCCTGGTGTGATAGGAATGAAGCTATTCCATATCTCTCCCTGAAAGCAATAGGGGAGGAGAGGGCTGCAGGGCACACGAGCAGTGCTGTCCCTGCCCCCAGCTCTGGGGATGCCCTCTGCCTCCCACCAGGAAGGTTTGCTTCACAAAAAAAAACCCCAAAATGAGATATAAAACAGAACTTCACAAAAATCCTGACCTGATCTTTTCAGCAAGGGAATTCGTTTACAAGTAAACTGCTAGTGGTTAAACACATCCAAAAGCAGAGTCACAAACATTTCTTAACTTGTCTGTCAAGTAAGATCATGGTTTCAGCCAAATTGGTACCAGATAAGAAAAGGCACTGCCAGAAAGATATCAGCATCCTTTGGGGAGCAGCACCATTTCCATCACAAGAAGACCTGACCCGCATCTACTTTCAAAGAAGCTGTATAATTAAACATTGCTTTTATGTGGGCAGCTGGCGGGGTGAACACAAAATCGTGTTACGTCAGACCCATGGAAGCAAAACAAAGAGCTGTGGAAAAGCAGAAGAGAGAAATAAGACAATATTTCACATTTTGGTAATGTAGCATGCTGTTGCCGTGCATGGTTGGAGGTCATTTTGAACAACTGTAATGGACATGGTACAAGCAATTAATTTGTTGGGTGAAGTCAGTGTTGGGACAGCAGCCAGAGTGCCTGCTTATCTGGCGTTTGGAAAATAATGAGTTTTTGGAGCAGAGGCTCCTGAAAAATCCTGATCCTTAACTCAGTGTTTGGCTGAAGCTGTTTACAAAGAGAAAGTGTCAGCGCAGTGCTGGCTGCCAGGGAGGTGGGGAGAGCAAATCCTCTCCAAGGCTGCAGCGGCCTGGATCTTTTGATAGATCCGACCTCATGTAGAGTCAGATCTAGCAAAACGTGTGCATGTATTTATATTTATATTGTTATTATAAGCTACTAGATAAAAATGTTGTATTTTTATATATTAAATATGAATTATTGATTGCATATTTATTATATACACATGAAGACTGTAAATATAAAATAAGTGTTAGGGGTTGTTCTTAATTCTGTGCAGAAATACACATTGGGCACCTCGTGCTGGAACACAGAGCACCTGGCCTAGCACTCTGCAGCAATGTGTGATGCGGTCCCATACAAAACCAAATGGATGGAGCAGTGTGGCTCAGCAGGCTGATGTCAGCTCCCTTCTGGAGAAGAACATTTACTTGATTCTTATGCTTTAAAAGGCCCACAGATTTACACACACAGTTATTTTCCATTTCCAGCCATCTCCTGGGTCCTGCCCCCTCTGCACACACTGCTGGCACTTGAGGAGGAGAACCCCCCAACTGCAGGCCTGGGCTGCAGCCAACCTGCTGCACCAGAGCCTTTGGGTGCCATTGCAGCACCCCCCCTTTGTTAGGGCTGTGAGCTGAGCCCATGGATGCAGCACACTTAGAGAACTGAGTCACAGTGCAAGGGCTGGATACCACCTTCCACACTGCTGCATGGCTACAGTTAACGACGTTTTAAAATTAATACATTTTCGTCCTATTTCTCTCCCAGCATTTGAGCCTTTCCAGGCAGGCCCTTGTGTTCCCCAGCCACGTAGGACACACATCCCCCTGAAGTGCCATCAGTACCTGTCCCATCGCTCTGAGCTCAGAGGAGAATGAATCAATCAATTATGCAGAAGACACTTTAAAACTGTTCCTCTGAGATGGCAAATATTTCAAAGAGGCAGCTCTATTAGATGGGCAC